AAGGAATCCATTATCATGAAATCACATGAGGCCGGGATTTCCTCACAAACAACCCGGAATGAATTGAACTGTCTCTGAGTGGGACCATTACCCAGCGTCGGTATGTGGGCATTACCCCAACAACACTTGGCACAGCACTGTCAAAAGGTGTGGTGTTGGTTTAGGGTTGGTTGGAAAAGTGGGGGGGAGGAGGGGGGTAGACCATAGTCGGAGCATTCTGCTTTAATTTTGGTATTCTCATCTTATTTCTTCCCCTTTGTTCTCAGGTCCCATTGGGTCCTGTAAAGTGCAAAACTGGGTAAGGCTCCCAGTACGGGCCTTTATGTGGGGTGGTCGGCCCGCTTTTTCATGATGACTAATGAATATGTGTCTAACTGTGGTGGATTTTCGTTCTTGCCTGGTGCGGCCAGCCAAAGATGTTGGGCTGGCAGAGCCACCCAAAAATGATTTTTTTTTTTTTTTTTTTTTTGATGATCCTTGCATACAAACGAGGTTGAAGACAACGACTGGGAGAGGTACAGGTGGTGGTGTAAATTATTACAATATTATATTATGTTTATCTCAACTTTATAACTTTCTTTTTTTTGGTTTTAATAGAAGGCTAATTCCTTAAGCCCAACCCAGTCAATTACCTGTCAAATCTGGACAGGACGCCCTTTCAGGCCTTTTTTTATTGTCATTATAGTATTACGGGGAACCCCGTAGCAGCCACGTCCGTGCTCAAGCCTCCAACGAGGGAACATGCGGGAGCTGCACCCACCAGCAGGTGCGATACCTGCTACAGCAGGTGGGCGATACCGGCCAGGGGTCAGCCGGTAGCATCAGGACCCAGCTTCTTCGATGGGCCAGTCACTGTGCGTCCCCTCCTGTCCCCTTCCCCTATGAACATCAGCAGTCTCTGCTCAATGCCACTCGGGGGACCAACGGCATATCTCTAGGTGGCAGGCGCCAAGCTTGCCCAGGAAGGTGCATGAGGCCAATGGGGATTGAACCCAAGTCCTCCTGAATGCCACTTGCGTGCCTTACCAACTGAGCTAGGCCGCTGGATAGTATCCACGTTTTTTTTTTTTTTTTAATTAAAACTATACTCTTCTCTCAATTTTTCCTCACACTACCTACCTACCACTACTACTACCTATAGGCATACGGGGAAACCCGTAGCATACCAGAGCCGTGTTTTTACGGCCCCTCGAGCCTGCAGGATACCGGCCAGGGGACGGCCGGTAGCACCAGGGATAAAGCGGACCAATCCCCCGTGCCTCCCCTCAGGCCCCTCCCCTACGAACATAGCAG